TTTTCATTTTCACCTCAGAAGTAGGGAGAAGAAAGTGAGACCTTTTCAGAGCTCTAATCTGCAATTGTCCAATGAAATTATGAAATTTGAATTACACACTGAGGTTGAAATTGTCATTGTGCAGGAAAAGGCCATGGTCTGAAACTGTCATATTTGGCATATATAAAACTGCACATTTGATAATTTGTCCAAAAACAAATATTTGTTTTTGTCAGCCAAAATATCCCACCTTGCAGATTTAGAGCAGGATGAAGTGATTTGCCAAGCCCCACACTACCCCATCCATCCAGAGGCCGATTCAGTCTTTCCTGTGTGCAGTCCCACCTGTCTTTCTGTGCCAGGGCCAGGCAGATGATGATGTACAGCATCACTGACCCACTGGGTCACATACAGTTTGAAGCCCAGCATTTTTCAAGCTGCCATCTGTTTCTGGAAGAAAGACCATGGCACAATGCATGAAGACTTTATTTGCCTTTTACCATTTATCTTTGTTATCTGACTTTCATCAGTAGTTCTGCTGGATAATACCAGTAGGAAAACATTATGAAAGTGTACCAGGAGACCTGATCTCAGAATTACCAGTTACACTGCTTAATAGATAACGTCCTTCTGGTAATACAGGCTGTTTATCAAAGCATCTTTAGACAAGAATTCCTTTGAAGAAACTGCCTAGGGAAGGTATTTTTCATGAGCTTGGAGAGAGAGAAGTATATCAGGTTGAGAGTGAGCCTGGAGCTGTGCAGAGCGTTTTTTTGAGAGACATCCCGTGCAGGGTGAGATACTGACAGGTGTAGCACAGGGAGCTCATGCGCAATATGTGAGACAGGTCATGTGAGAAGATGACAAATATGTATAGGGGAAATTAGAGAATGTGTCTCAAACACTGCCAAGCTTTGTGCAACTGCCCGTGTAAAGAAAGCTCCAGCATCTATTGAACTCATTTACAAATAACCTGCATGAAAGCTGTGAATTTAACACTGCATGACAGCTCTAAAGAATGGAATCACTGCTCCTGTATAAGGTCACTGCAGGTCACTTCTCACCCCCTCAAGCCTGTCAGCTGAGTGCATCAATGATTCAAGGAGAAGCATGGAAAAGTCTTCTGGGAACAGTGATGCTTTGAATCAGTTTGGCTCCTGCAGTTCTTGTGTCTGTTGCTGCATCTGCCAGCTTCAGTGATGTGGTGAATATGAGCTGTAGGAAGTGGTAGGGAGCTGTTCCTCTCCCCACTCTTTGGATGAGGCAGCTTGTAAGTTGTTTAGAGCAGGAGGGGTTCCCAACTAGTTCCTGATAGATTTGGCTCACATACAGCAGGGAGGGTAATGAATTGCTCCTGTTACATCCCTATGCACTTGTCTTGCATTCAGCAGCAAGCCTAACATTCCAAACATTCAAAATTGTGTTGTTACACTCTCAACTTTCTGAGAGAGATATAAACCAAGATATTTAAGGCAGGAATGCATGTGATCTTTTTAGTTTTGGTATGTCACAACCACCTGGTTTTGAAGGTTGTGAGCAGTTAAGGTGGCAAGCACTTGCAGGCTTTGGGTTTGCTCTTCCTTTTATTAAAGATACTGGCTGAGTTCTCATCTTCTGGCACATTGGGTAGATGGGGTCTTCCATCCTGAAATACCTTCTTGCAGACTGTTTGCTCTTTGATGTACTCTAGCATCAGATTCCCAGCTCTTCTTTCCAGGTACCATTTCCATTTATTATATACACTTGAATATGTAGTAGCAAGTTTTCACTGTCTTTTTCAGGTGTGCTCTCAAGTGTATTGTGTGGCCTTTTAACCAGGAATAGCTACATAAGGAATCCTGCACAGTGCAAAAGGATGTTCCCTGTATGCATAAATATATCACAACACCTGAAGCAGAAAAGAAATGTGTGAAAACAAACATCCAGGAGTTGGTGGAACAGGAGCTGAAGATTACCTGTAAGGCCTTTATTTGTTCATCTGAGCATGTGCAACAAATGCAGTTCTCAATAGAATTCTCAGATGTGCAGTGACATGTTTTCCTATCTGGCTGTTGAGCAGCAGGAAGTATGGCACTTGTATGGCTGCACAGCTGCCTCTTCCATTGCTGGGGTGTGTTTTCTTTCAATACATTTGAAGTTCTTTATATAAGTGATTTGTTCTGTTACTCCCCCTGGTTTATTGGTTTATTCCAAATTGTATCCCCCCCCCTCCCCTATACCATCAATCATTGTAAACCCTACCCCCTGCTTCCGAACCTTCCCAGTTCTTCCCTGCCCCTCCCATTGACTTCTCAATCCCATCTTGTACCTACCCCTTTTTCTGGAACATTCCTTCTCAATCACCTGGTATTTGACATCCTATTGGATTATGCAAACTGTTCCCTCCCCCTTTGCTTTCACATTGGTTCATCTGTTGTGACCCCTGCCTTGTGCTCCTCCCCTAAGTCTTCCCTATTGGTTTATGAGTTGTACCTGCCCCTTGATCCTCCCCTATATATAAGTTGCTGTATACTCTGTTTAGTTGTCTTTTGTCCCTGGCCCCTTCTGTAGAATAAACTCCTTTGAGAACCTTTACAAAAGTCCCTTCTCTGGTCTTTACCTCAACCCTCAGCACATTCCACAGTGTGCATTGGAAAGCAGATTCGCTGAGCTGAGCAGCCCTGCTTTACCTCCACTAAAGGCTACTCATAGCCTGAGGGAGGCCACACTTGGAGCAGTTTGGGTGGGGATAGCCAATGATTCCCCCAAGCCACTGCGTCATTCCATGAGCTGCAGGGTCCACAGGAAATGCTGTGGGCTGTGAAACTCAGCCCAGTGAGGAGGCACACACCATTTTGGCAGGAAGAATCAGACATGGGCTGCAAAGTTAGTGTGAGGGGTAGGAAAAGAGGTCATGCATATCTTCCAAAGGCAGATTAATTTAATTTGGGATGACAATACCACAATTACTCCCACCTCTACTTCTTAAGTCTTGCTGGCATTCATAAACAAATACAGCTTGATGCAGAGCCCAGTTGCTGGTGTGAATGGGAAGGAGTGACAGGAGTGTGAAGTGGGAAGGTTGTTCTTTGGCAGTAGCTGGTGGCTGTGTTGGCTTCAAGTAGTTACAGAACAAGAGTTCATGGCTCTGGGCACTGTCACAGGTTTTAGTTCTAGTTGTGCAATTATATATAGGTTTATTTCCATGTCTAACACTAGTTGTTTTAAACTGAGTATCCTGGGGTTTTATCTGCTTGTTTTGGAAACACTGATGATATGTCTTACGTACCTCAAGTTGTTTTAAGCACTCTCAAGCCCTTCATGTATTTATGTTTGGAGATCAAAGAGAGCAGATTCCTCTCTGGAGTGGATTTGATGTGAGGCAACCCTGCCATCACAGAGGGGTTGCATTAGATGATCTTGAGTTGTGCCTTCCAACACTAACATTTCTGTGATTCTGTGATTTATATCATCCACTATGGTGTTCTGATCATCTCCCTGTTGCCCTTTACCAGATCACAAAGCACACCTGGAAGTGGGAGATCTTGAACTCTTCCATGGGCACTAATTTTTTGCTTTTTGTGCTACAGCAGCTCAGCCTCTCCTCCAACCTTTTCCTTTCTTCTTTCACCTGTGTGTGTTTTAGGCAGTAGCTCTCTCCCTTTACTCTAGAGTAGACAAAATGTTTCAGTGAGAAATGTCACATGGGGGATGCTACTGGGTGCTCCTGTTCCTGGTATTGGGATATGTGTGTTGGTGAAACAATTAACAGAGAGTAGCTGGGGCCATGTATTTGTGTGTTTCTGTTCAGAGTAACTCTCCACTCAGCTCTGCTGCTCTGTAGTGTGGGGAGGTGGGGGGTTTTCCCATTCTGTGGGTGTCCCCTGTCTCGCTTGATGTCAAAGGCAAGCTGTCTTCCTAAGCTTGTGAAAATGTTAGGGGTTTGGGAGCTGCTTCCTTAGGCTGATGCTGGTGCAGGTGGAAAGCAAAGAAGAGGAGGACAGGGTGAGTAAAGAGAAGGCAGGTCCAGTATGTGCTGTTCTCCCACTGGTCTGCTGGATGGAGATGAGCTGTGGAGTAAAGTGCCTCAGTTTCCCTGTCTGTGCAGGTGGTGTAATTGCAAGTCTTTGAGGAGAGAGAATTAATGTTTACTTGGATGAAAAGTACTATGAGCACAAAATGTTTGCTATTGAGAAACTGATTCTATTTCATGATGTTTATCAACTGTTGATCACAGAATCTTTTAGGTTGGAAAAGGCCTCTAAGATCATCAAGTCTAACCTTTCACCAATCACCACCTTGTCAATTAGATCACAGCACAAAGTGCCGCGTCCAGCTGTTCCTCAAACATCTCCAGGGATGGCAACTTCACCACCACCCTGGACAATGCATTTAAACGCTTAAAAACTCTTTCAGTGAAGTTTTTCCTGAGGTGATGTTCTGCTCCTTTGCTGTCCTGCCTATTATGGGGCTGAGAAGGCATCAGCAATGGGTTCTGTTTGCTTCCTGTGATCCCTGATTCCCTTGCTGTTGGCTAAAACATCATTAAGCTTGTTCAGAAGGAGACTGTGTGGATTTGTTTCTGAAAGCTTTACAGAAATCTGTAGACAAATTGTCTAAGCTCAGGGCGTTTCCAGATTGCATATCCTTAATTGTATTAAACACTTCAGAGCCATCTGACAGTTTGTCTCACAGTTCCACCATCTGGTCTGGAAATTTAGGCAAGCTTTACTTCCTGGAAAAACTCGGAGACAGTCACATTGGAGTGTCATTAAATTGCCCCTGGGCTGCTCTTTGATGGAGAACAGGCTACTATAGTGTCACTGCTGATAGTGTGCTGATTGAGAGAAACAAGGTTTTAGGGGCTCATTAGTTCTGATTAATTAGGCTAAAATACAGCTTTCTTGCCCTTCTTGTCTTTGCAAAGTGACTAGTTACCCTCCAATGCAAACCATAAAAATTGGCTTTATTTTAATTTCTTTGTATTTGTAAATATGTACACAAATTAGTCTGCTTTCAAAATAAATTCTTGTGTTTTACAGGTTTACTTGATTGCACAGCACTTGGAAGACTTTGATGCACTTGTAACACCCACGTGAGGTAGGGTGTATGGCTACCTTCACAGCAGCAACAGGAGGACCCACAGAAATAAGGTAATGTAGGAGAAGCTGTTTTTCATGAGGATTACACCAGCTGCATGAAAACCCCTTTAGTGCTGATTTCACACCTGTTAGCTCCTGTGTGCTCTCTCTCTTCCCCTAAGGTGGAGGAAACCCTGTAAATAACTTGCGGAGAGATTCCCAAGGTGAGATGGGTGTCCCAGGCCAAGTGTGCAGACATGGTGTGTGGTGGGCTCAGGAAAGCTCCTGTTTCAAGAGGGAAACTTACTAATGCCCTCTCATCATGTGGGCAGTGTGCCCTGTTCTGGCTGGCTCAAGAGGGCTGAGGATGCTTCCTTTCCGTATCTGAAAATTTAGGAACAGGTTTTCATTCTCTTTTGTAGTTGGCAAGGAGAGGCAGGGTGGCCACTACTGAAGGACAAGAGAAATGATTAGAGAAATGATTTCATTTGCATGCTGTAGCCACTGCAGACTCAGTTTTTGAGATAATTTTGACCAATAAACAAAGATTTTCTGTTTAAAATTATTTGAAGACCAGAGATCTATTTGTTTGCTTGAATCTGCCAGTAATTAGGTCCAGTAATACATCATATTTCCCAGAAATGCTATGGATCACAGAAGTAAACCTATATCTCCAGAGAATCACTTTTGAATTTACAGGAGAAGCTGATTTGGTTTGAAATAAAATCCTGAACATTTCATGGACTCGAACCTGAATTGTATCTGGAGACTTATCTGGAGGCCATCCCATTCCTTCCAGTTCCAGATTGGAAGTGGGTGAGTCCAGATGAGAAATTAAGTCTGCTCAGCTAGAACTTGTGCCCTAACATCAGATGTAAGCGGTCAGCAGTGGCAGACAAGAATGCTTTTCTCCTCTCTGGATTTGCCAGTTTTTCACCCCCAGGGCTGAACATCTAGGAGATTGTCTTATAGCTTGTATGGATCATGTGGGACTTCCCAGCTTCCTGCTTCAGCTTCTGTGTGTTCACCGTGCTGTGAGATAAATGCTGAATTGCTTTTTTAATTCCCTTTTGCTCCACTCTCTCTCTCTCTTCCCACATTCGCAGCTCTCCCCATTGAGAAAAGCCTCAAGCCTGATTGCACCATCTGGGATGATCCCAAGATCAAAACTGAAATTTTGATCGGTTCTGTGTGCTAAGAGAGGCTGATTGCTTCTGGTTTCCGGAGGGTAATTCCAAAGCAATGCTGTGGAAGTGAAATTACATTAGTCAGTAGTAGAGCTGGGATAAATATGACCAGAAGCTGAGACATTTCCCTCTTCCTCTTAGGTGACACAGCAAGCAATGCTGCCTTGCAGCAGGGTGCAACTTTAGGGTTGTTGGTGTCTGAGTAAAATACACTGTTGGGTGAGGAGACTTTGTTCTGCCCAGATTTGTTGCTGGCCCTCTTACAATCTGCTGTTATTTTCTGCCGTGCTTCCAAAGGTGCAGCTTCAGGAAGAGAGTACAACAGTGGCTTGAGGCATCTCTGCTTCTGTTTCTTAGCTTCTGAGCTGCTCAGGGGCCAGTTTAAATTAGAGCAGACCCCATGGGTGCTCCTGCAGACACTGTACCAGCTGCTCCTGTTTCTGGAGCACAGAATGCCTCAGTCACACCCCTGTCCCTGACTTCTCCAAGGACAGAGATGGTGGCACTGTACAAATACAGGCTTTGTGATGCTCCATAGCAGCTGTTGTATTGGCGGAGCAGTCTGAAGGCCAAAATGTGTTTCTGAAATGTTCATATTGTTTCTTGAGGGTGTTGCAAGAGTTGGAGTCTATGAGTTTTGGTGTTACAGAACCCAACTTTCATTATGTTGGAGGCAAGTTTAGCTTGTGTCTCATAGAGGCAGAAATCAGGGTGGAGGCATTCGAGATATACTCGTGAGTTTGTCTAGCCCAGCAGGTGACTAAGACCTTGCTGTGTGTCCCAGTGTAGCAATACCAGTGATGAGAAACTGCAGACAGAAGCAATGGATACATTGCTCAGCTTCCCACACATTCCTTAAGTGGATGATCTGGAGAGCAAAATGAGCGCGTCAAAGGTTTTCGGGAAAGTCAGACAAAGATTATGTCTATATGGGCCAATTCCTTAAAAAAAACCCCACAAAAACAAACAAACGAAAAAAACCACAAACATTTTGGTTGGCTAAGAAAACTTGGCATTCAATAGTTTTTTACCCCAATAATATGGGGGGTATTTTGACAGAAAATAGGTGTTGCTTTAAAAAAAAAAAAAAAAAAAGAAAAAATCCGAATTGCAGAGAACGACAAAAAGAGACCATTCTTCATGAAAGAATGGCACATGACCCATTCCTTCCATGTCTTAAAATTGCTTCATTATTTGGGGGAATTATTTATAGCTAACTGGGCTTTCCTTCACTCAAGCCCCTATAGTTCTGTGCAAGAAAAGGAATTTTCCATTACAGAGGCATGTAATGGGATTTTGAATTTAATATTCATATGGTGTGGTGTGGGTCTCTGAGTAAAACATTCTGCCTGAACATGAAGCACCAGCATTAACCTGGTTCAGCAGAACACTGAGCACCTCTTATTTCATAGGCATGGTTGTCTGCTGTGTCACAGGCATAAGGGAATGAAACCTGAACTCTTGCAGTCCCACTGCTGAGGGGTGTCATGAAAAGCCTCCTCAAGGTTTTTCTGCATTTCCTGGTGGGTTGCAAGAGCAGCCAGTGAGATTAGCTGGTGTTCCAGAAAACATTTTAGTAGCCTCACTGCTTCAGTGAAATATGCATTGTCCATACCAAACACAGTTTCCTCTTCCCAGTGAAGATGAAGAAAGCTGTGCCTCCCTTTGACCCAGGTAATTAGCACAGACCTTCCCCAGAAGGCTAAAGGTCTCTCCTGCTGCATATTGTTCGTGCCTTCTCCACAGTGAAGCTGCTTTTCCAAGGTGTAAACACTCTAGCAAAGGTTGTGTGTTGCTGCTTGGAACAGTTTTTCCAGCTGGGAATGTGCTACTCTGATTGCCTCTCCATTTTTAATTTGTTTTTTTGTAATTTTGTGGTATAAATACAGAAAGCAGATAGATCTGTTGCTGAACTAGAAGGCTGAAAACTTTTCATTTTCCATTTCGACCCACAAACAAATTTATTTCTTGTATTCTATATTTTTAGTTCAGAGTGTTGGATTTTCTGTTTTTTTCCTTAACCTCATGAGGAGTTATTTTTTTAATATTTATAATGCACTTTCTCAACTGAAAGAGAAAGAGGAAGAAAATGGATTGCTGATCTAAATATCAGGGATGTAATTATTTTCTACCACAGAAATGAACATGCAAGGGACTAAGAAGGAACTAATTTAAAAATATTTTTCCCCCATCTTTTGTCTATGTCCCTTGTTGCTGAAATGGGGAATTTTCTTCCAAAACTCCCACTGAGATCCCACGGGACTCTAAGCTAGCCTCTGCCCATCCAAAGGCTGATGTGAGTTTTGGAGCAACTGCTGAATTCTTTGGAGTTCTATTCAGGCCCTGCTGAAGCCAGTGGTGATGCCAGAATGTGCAGTCAAGCCTTTTGAGACAAGGTGTGCTGTGGGCTCCAGGAATGCCATGGCATCCTTTATAAAGCCGGTTAGAGGAAACCAGCTCCCTCTTTCTTGCAGCAGAACCAACAGGCAGAAACCCCTGTCCTGGGGGCAGCTTGGGTTGTGGCCATGATGTTACAGCACTTCAGAGCTCGTGGGCCCCATCTCTACATGTTCCAGCTGCACAGTGAGTTTGAACAGGCACCTTGTGAGCTGTGTCTGTCTGAAAAAAGACTGAGGAATCCGACACAGACCAGTGTTGATAGTGCTTTAACCATAGGGTTGTTTGTAACCTGCTTGGAGCACCAAATGCCTTATTTTGTTTAGCAAGCCTGGAGAATTCATCAGAAAATAAGTTTGTACCCTTCCTTAATGAGATGAGTTATATCTGTGCTAACCATGACAGATACAATTCAGCTTACTATGCAAGGGCCCAAATAATTTATAAGCCAAAAAAAAAAAAGGAAAATGTTGTTCAAGAGCAGACTTTGTAAACAACTCAATCTTGCCAATTCCTGTGGTACTGAAAGAATTAGTTTCCTTCTGGTTGTCTAGGTAACAAACTCTTTGGGGCCAGTTTTCAGGCAGTATAAATCAGCAGAGCTTTTGTGTTGACTTGTATCAGTTTGTATCCTCCTGCAGCTTGTGCAGCACCGTGAGCAGTGCCAACTCCTTACAAATGCATCACGTTTTAGTATCCACCAGGTATCTCTGAAGGCAGGTGCTGGCTATAAAGGCTCGTGTTCTGCACCAATTCTAGTTGTCACATCCTTTGTGCCTCTTGACAGTCCTTGTCAGCTAGACACCATTCTGATGGATATAAAGGATCTCAGTGAACAGAGATGGGTGTCTGCTGCTTGCCATGAGATGTGTGGTTGCTTTGGCCTCCCAGCTCACTGTTCAGGCCCCTTTTACCCTTACTCTAGTGTAGGCAAGGGTCAAGGGAAGGACATATCTTTGAGAAGCAAGAGTTTTTCTTCTTTTGTGTTGTGGAGTGTGTCCTCCCAGTGTCTTACTGTGGATGGTAATGGGCTTACTAATGTGATTTGGTGTAGAAACTATTCATCAGTTATGCAAATCAGATGTGAAAATAATGTGCTTGGGGCTTTTGATTTGGGTTGGATTTTTTTTTTCCTCTTAAAACACAGAGCATACGGTTGCCTTAATGCCAAGAGGGAGAGGGAAGTGGTATGAAATGTTCCTGCTGGATGTGTTTTTATCATCCTTGCTGTAGTTGGTTCACTCTCTGTGGTACTTAATCTTTAATGGAAGCTGTTAAGCGACAGCAGAAGAGATGCTAAGATGCTCTGTTCTAGACAGCAGTGGAGGGGCTTTCAGTCCTAGATCTCAGTGCTGGGGTCATTTTGATGACTACAGGATTTGACAGCCTTGTTTGCAACAGCTGCATTTTTCCTGCTTGCTCATTATATGGAGAGAATATGAATCCCTGGGAAAATAGTAATGGATGGAAAGAAGACTCCTGAGCCAC